TACAGGTTAAACAATAGCGTAACTCAATATATACAATTTAACTTATGTAGAACTGGTGGATGGCCTTTTTGAATTGATGCGGACTGGTCAGTGTTTTGATACTGGGTGTTCCATAGATTAATAGCGCGGTAGAGAAATGTTCGCATTTTGCTGTTTGTTTTTGGTTTAGGTAGTTTGAAACTGCAAGAATTGGCGAATCTAGTTGAATACTTGTGGGTAGAATGGACGGGAACAAGGGAACTGTAGATGTTTTGTGGTTCATGACTGTTAAGAATTCTGAAAAACATATTTAAAGTACTGGTAGCGAACCTCTCTCTGACCGTCAGCCAACCCCGATCTGAGTGCATTTGCTTGACAGGTGTGTCTAGTGAGCATTTCAAAATCAATCTGCATGCATGCCCTATTCTTACCAGTGTTCGACTCCGACATGTTAGCTAGAACTGGTAGACAGTATTGTGCCACAGATAGGACCAGAGCACATACAACCATTTTACAGATTTCCTGTGACATAGCCCATGCGTGTCTTCTCAAAAGGGCGATGTTCTTGGATTGTTTGGCAACAACATCGATCTTGTATCTTTATGTTAGGATACATTCGTATTCGTAGGATACACAAGGACAGAGCTGGTCTGCGCACGGGTACTCCACTTTTGAAAAATAACAGGCTAATATTAGCAGCTGCTAAGTTCCCCACTTCAGGGAGCGGCGAATAGAAGATCGGATATATTATAACCAGAGTTCACTCCTCAGACGCAGTGTTTACGTTGTTACTCGTACTTGACTAGTTGCAAGCAGTATTTCTCGTCTATTCTCATCACTGACCGTTATCATTGCGATCTTACATTAGTGCTATTTAGCCACAAGGCGTCTGCCTCGAGGTACTACGACCCCCTGCACCTAGTTGGAGGCGAATGTTACCGAACTCTCCCCGCACATTCAATCACGTCTTCAAACTGATCTTTGTTGACGGGACCGTACGCGCGAGTGAGTCACCGGGGTCAGGTGGGCAGAGTAACACATCCCTGAGTAAACAAGCTTCCTGTAGCAAATGAATCTCCCCTGAGTGACGTTAGCGGAACATGACGTCACTCGTATTATAAACTCTCAATTAAACCCCTTTCGGCCCTTTGTGCAAATCGGTTCCCTTTCTTGCTAGGAAAACCGGCCCGCGTGGTCAGTCAGGAGAGAGAAGACGAGGGTCCAGTCCAAGAACATCGTGGTCAGGAGCTGAGCGCACCTTCACGTAGGCGGCAAACCGGCAAATTGTTAAAGTAACCTCTAACATCCAAAGATACCACTACTCTACAAGCAACTGCTTGGTAAGTGTTTGATTGCATTGTGTTTCTCGAGCCCTTTTCAAGCCCTTCCTCGATAAATTGTCGCGTTGGCTGTGTATGCCGCTAATTGGTTGTCCTGTTAAGTGTTTTATATGTGTATGATTACTAGTATTATGCTGGATGGTGACGATTAGTGAACAAAACAGACTGTAAATCCATATCCCTCGGCCTTTGTGTGGCAAATGGTTCTCAAACCCGAAGTCGAACCCTAAGTCTGGTATGTTCAATCGAATCGTACATTTTGCTAAGCATTCTCCCTGTGTGCTTGTAAATGTATGTGTGTAATGTGTGTGCGTGTGTGTGTGTGTGTGTGTGTGTGTGTGTTGTGTGCAGGCAACATGTTATGCAAGGTGCATGTTGTCTGTACTCGCTGTGTTGTTTGCTAGTCCGCCCTGAGGCCTTAATTCAATTACTGTAAGTCCATTTTTTATTACGAAATCTTTAAGTTCACGGTTTTCACGAAGACCTTCTTCTCGTGAACTCACCTCCTCGCGAACCCATTCCATACGTACCACCCCCCCTCCCCACAGCAGTCCTCTTGTGGGACGAGGTCACAAAGGCCGTGGTCCTCACAAAAATGTCTTTCAACAATTTTATTGCGGCCATGGCACGTTATTCTTACAGATTTGGCAGAAAAGATACACTGCCCCCTCTCGCGATATTGTAAACTTACATCACGCTAATTTTGTATTTCCTTGCAGGACGATGTGGCTGATAACACTATCTACAAGTCTGCTGGTTATACTTTTTGTAACCTGGTTAACGGACTGTATCAAACGGCGGAGGATGCCCCCAGGGCCGATTCCATGGCCGATCGTTGGAAATCGTTCTGGTAAGCACTCAAAAGTCATTAAAACAATTCAGCTGTTCAATATGGGCCAAAAAGAAACTACAAAGAAATTTGTCCACTTTTAGTTTATCCACAAGAATAATTTACGTATATTTTAGTGGCAACATCACATTAACGAAGATACTCACCAATTATGTTCTATAGATATGGCAGGTCTTGATAAGTAACTATAAATGGTCATTTTATACATTGTATGAAAAACAAAACGTTACAACCAAAACATTGTGATGTTCTGTCATGTTGGACATGAATTGTAAATTGTATTGCAGTGTTTACTGGCAAATTCTATTTGACCTTCATCGACCTTGCCAAGAAGTACGGAGACGTTTTCAGCCTGAGACGGGGCATGACGGACGTGGTCGTGCTGAACAGCTTGGCTGCCGTACGGGAAGCTCTGGTGGAGAAGAGTGTTGAGTTTGCAGGCAGACCGCATACCCAGTCCTGTGAGTATGATTCCCATATGAGACATACATATGATACCCCCCTAAAAATTGGATTTAAAATCGGTCCGAGTCCCCGCAGGGTAACTGTCGATGTTTTCACGACAAGGTTACCGTCTGGTAGCCTCGGTGCCATCCGCTGCAACAGCAACCCCGAAATTTTCCCCACTAACAGTCTGGATCCGGGATATTGTTTTGCCAATAAGCGACTGTTAAGTAGTAATAGACTTCCGAAGTGCGCATCCCGAATGATTTTGTAACAACATCCACTGTTGCTTTGTAGATGATATAATGTCGGAAGGCAGGAGAAACATGGCCTTTACAGACTACGACCCGGCCTGGAAACAGCACGGGAAGCTCATCAAAAGTGCCCTCAGGTTAGTTCCAGATACTACGAACAAATGCAAAGATTATCAACAAGAGAGTAGCGTGTGTACGCGTGGCATATAGGAACGTTGAATAACTGTGTCCTTTGACTATTGACTTTGCAAGTGCTGTTTGTTGTTACATCATTCCCAATCTTATAAAGTGATCAGATAAACATCCATTTGTGCGGACGGTTCTAGATCTGCGGAGCAGTACATGAATATAGGAGAGTGGCATCGTAGGAAGTCATGTAAGGCTATTGATAATGATAGACGAGTTGTGTCCTTCATCTTTCTGTCTGACGTATTCAGTATATCATAGGCAGCTTGAATATGTAGCAGATGTTTAATGCCTAAAACTCGTACATGAACGTTTGCCGCCGTTCGTAATGGTGACATTGAAATTGTATTGGATTGCACCAATGACAACAACATTATAAAACGACTGTAAGGTAACTAAGGATTGGCCATTTTTTGCGCTTAGGGAACATGCTTCGGATAGGAAACTGGAAAGTCAAGCACACGAAGCCATTCGTGACATCGTCAGTGAACTTGCGAACGTCGAGGGCCAAGCAGTGGATCTTACTGAGCACATCTACAAGCTGGTCTACAATGTTGTCTGCCCAGTTGCCTTCGGTGTCAGGTATACATGTAGCTATGTGGATAATTATCGTCTGAAACCGCTTTAATATGGCCTGATTAAATTACGCTCCTAGCAGGCCTGTGTATGTGTGTGTGTGTGTGTGTGTGTGTGTGTGTGTGTGTGTGTGTGTGTGTGTGTGTGTGTGTGTGTGTGTGTGTGTGTGTGTGTATGTGTATACTGATAATACTATCAATGTTATGTACATGGCAGATTCAAACTGGAGGATGAGGATTTCCAGAATCTGGTGAAGTTCGGGAAAGAGCAATACAAACGCCAGATCCCTCTCGGCGACATCTACCCTTCACTTGGATTCTTGCCTAATCAAGGTACGTAGCAGACGGCTGTCTTCCTCTGTACTAGGCGCCAGAGTTCCTAATTCAAATTCTTTTCTGGGGATGGTACGGGGTGGGGTAATGGAAATAAAGACCTTATGCACATGGTGCGAACATGTCGAGTGGCTCACTAAGTTACAAAGTTTCAGTCCTAAAGGTATAAAATGCCACTCCAAGTAGTTTTTATGGATGACGTCCGCTCGCGTATTGATTTTCGGCCTGATTCCAGGAAAATAAAAACACACCGACGACGCAAGATTATGCAAACTGTAGTACGTTTGGACTGACAGCCTAATTTCCTATTTAATTTTCCGTACGTGTGCATAGCAAAGACTGACTTGCAGAAGCGGATGGATCCTGTTCTGGAGTACTTCAAACGCCAAGTGGACCGGCACCGCAGGGAGTTTAACCCAAGTAAGACGGTATCGAATAATGGCCGGTGGCAGGTTTATAAATTTAGGGACCGATGACCCATATATATATATATATATCCAACTCTTACAATCGCCTTCTTGCGTCAATCTGATGGTGTCTGTTGGTCTGTACTTAGATGATCATAATAACATTTGTTGTCAGGAGAATGATATCCCCATGACCACTCTCACAGCAAACACATGTATGTTGTTCCTTATCATGGTTTCGTTTTCATGTTCATCCTTTAAATTCTACCACTAGACAACACTTGCCGACATTATTCGTATGATAACCCCAACTTCCTTCACCATTACCGAGGTCCACAGTGTCTTCCACAAAGTTGGAATGGCCGTCTGAATAAATTGCACAGACAATGCACTCTTTCAAACAAACTCAGGTGCCATGATGATCGATGCAGCAGCCTTATTATATCACTACACTGTTTACAGATAACCTCCGTGACGTCACAGATCACATGATCAAGGCCCAGAAGGAGGCAGAAGAGGGGGGAGAGCTGGACATCAGTGCTCTGACAGACACTCATCTCAGGCAGATAGTCATTGACGTCTTTTTGGGTGAGCATGGGGTCTTCCTTTGTAAAGATGCAACACTAGTACGAAAACACATCGACTGTAAATAACTACGCATTTCAGACTCTGTAAGTCTGCAATGTGGTGTTCGCAATAAGGATTTTAAAGATGAATCAATCTTTGCCAACGGACATTGAACCAAAACTGATCTTGGTACCAAAGGGTGGGGCATCTACAGCAGTTTCGGTCTTCAAAGCATAACTGAAATTCTTGGGAGTACCTGAAGATTTACAAATACGCAGCCTGAAGTTTTGTTTGCAACACAAACACAGACTCAGACAATCTCTTTACGGACCGTAACATGACAATGATAACTCCTGATATATATATACAGGCGGTACGGATACTACAACTCAGATCCTCCGCTGGGCCGTCCTGTTCCTCGCTGCCCACCCGGAGATACAGGAGAAGGTGGCTGCTGAGTTAGACAGTGTGGTGGGCCGTGACAGGCTGCCTGAGCTGTCCGACCGCCAGGCTACTCCGTACACGGAGGCGACTGTCACTGAAGTGCTGAGAATGGGACTGATTGATGCATTGTCCTTACCTCATGCTACGACTGCAGATACGATACTGCGTGAGTACCGCTTCCAAGCTATATTCTCCACTGAAAAAAGTGCGGATGACAACTTCGTAGCATGATTATAACATTACTCACCGCACTATAACCTCTTCAAAATGACGCACGGTGTAACAGGGTGTTGGCTATAATCGCATTTGGTTGCCTTTAGCCTCATTGGTGTGAGTTCCGAAAGTGTGAACTGTTTCAAAACAAGAATGGATAACCATTGGGACAACACAAAATACCAAGAGTGAGAAGATGGTATTACAACAGGCAGATAGCCTTTTATATACGTTTGAGGGATTCTCAAGGTATTCTCTCAAGGTATTCTCATTGGGTGCTTCATTCTGAAATAACGATTTACTACACAAACTCTTTTCATTTTCACTTGTCTGGAGGCTAGTAAATCTTAACACAGATAGTCAAAATCCCTTCCTTCTTCTCCCTCAGGAGGTTACCACATTCCCAAGGGCACAGTGGTTCTGCCGAACCTGTGGGCCCTGCACCATGACCCTTCCATCTGGGGAGACCCTCACAGCTTCCGCCCGGAACGCTTCTTGGATGAGGGTGGCCGTCTGATGCCAAAGCCTGCTGCTTGGATGCCTTTTAGGTCAGTATGATTCTAACGTACAACCATTTCATTCATGAATTTACATATTAGGGCAAAATTTGTTAGACGTAGAACTGTATGTTTCCATGGTAATGGAAGCTATGATGACTGTTTTTCATAGAATCCAGATTGGACTAAATTCACAGCGAAGAAGAATCCTTAGCGCGCTCCTATTGGTACCCTGTCATTTTTTTTCAAATCAGTCTCCTGGATAGCAGTTGATGGGCCCGATTAGCTCCTGACAGCGAAGGATTATTGTGCAACACAGGCCAATGTAGAACCCTTATCTAAATATTTCAAATGTACCATATAATGAAGATTTGTATATATATCTTCCTTAGTGTTGGCCGCCGTGCATGTCCTGGGGCGAAAATGGGCATGGCGGATACATATCTCCTGCTGGGAGGACTGGTCCAAAACTTCCACTTCAGTTTCCCAGAGGGGGAGGAGCCACCTGACTTCAGCGCAGATGAAACGGGAGGAAGTCTCTGCGCACCTTCACCCTACAAGGTGGTCCTCACCCACCGGAAATAGACATACGACCACAGGAAATGATTGATGAACTGAGCTCGAAGGAGCAGTAGTTGCCATGCTCAAAGGGTATTTGAATTTGAGGAAAAAAACAACAACGTGGTGGCATATAAATAAATACCATTGGGGAGATTATGATTTAAATTCATATTTGGGACAAGAAGCAAATGGCAACTCTTTGGCAAGTCGGGAAGATGAAAACTGAACTTCATAAGCAATTTTCGAAATGCATATACTTATGTGAGTTACATGTATATTTTACTAATAGATATTGTTCTAGCAGATACTACATGAAGGGTTTAAAGGGAAGGACTGACTGAGAATAGTCTAACCACTAACCTCTATAATGGATTTGGGCTCAACTCTTTGTCCACGCGCTATCCAATATTTTTGTAAATGCATGCATTTTTTAAAACCTTCATATATGTATTAATAGTCGCTAAGAGAGGTTATGGGGCAACTATGCAAAGGACTCATCAGATTACAAACAGTTTGATATTACTATGGTAGGATACTAGTGTACCTAAGAATGATATGACATTGATGGTCGACACGTCTAATCGTATTGTATCATTTGCTGCTTCTGTTATAAATCATGTCACTTAATCGATGTTAACGGTGACATAACGCCCGGCCAGTCGCGTACTCTGCGTGTAGCGGCCTGGCCTGAGCCCTGTCCGACAGGAGGTACACATGGAGGACCGTTCAGCACTAAGGACAGCGCTGGTCTGCGCACTGGTACTTCACTTTTTTAAAAGATCAAATTCAGAGTGAACCTGATGTTGCTATCGTAATGTAAGGGGTTGAAAATGACACTTTTATGCATAAAGCAAGGAGGTTAAATACATTTTGATTTTAACTCCATGCATAAAGCAAGTGGCCATCGGCTTTGAGGTTTTTGTGGCCAGTATGTTAATCTGGTCAATGCAAATTCTATGCTTTGATCCCTTCTACATCAAGGACATGTCATATATGTGCTGAATAGTATTGTTCCCCTTGCCAGACGAATGTCTGACTTGCAATCTGTGGCTTTGTCTGTGACTTGTGAATAAAAGCTGGATGTTCTGTGGGTTGGGAAGACAGTCTGAGACAGAGATAGCTTGAGAGAAGGTCGCAGAGAAAGAGACTGTCCCAGTCCCATGACTCCCGTGCGTGTGTTACGGCAATGCCTGTGTCCTGCGTGTGTTCTTGCTAGCCCTGTAGTTAGTCTCCCTTGCAGCATCCAAAAGAACCTGAGTTCCACCTCGGTTACAGTAACACCGTTGAAGCGTGGCTCAAATGTCGACGTCACCGCAATATCTTATCTCATAGTTAATTCAATTTAACGTATAGGTAATTTAACGTAGTCATCCTCATTATCATTACCTCAGTGACACTATACATTTGTACATGTAAATACAGTACAATAAATACCGTACAGTAGACTTAAAAAGAGTTAACTGCAGTCTTGAAGGTGTTCACATTAATGGCAGCGAGTGAGTTCCACAGCCTGTTAGTCCTTGGTACATATACGAAGATAAGTGATTCGAAGCTAAGAGTTAGGTTATGGTATGTACAATACGTGGCCGCGCGTATTTGAACGCTCCCGATCTCCCATTTTTCGGGCTAGGGCAGCTCGGTAATGCCCTCTAAGGTATTTTTAGGACCTATTGATGTCCAAAATACAAAGATGACGTTCAAGAGGAATATGACAAAGGTACCACTTTTCCTTCCGATAGCTATAAAGATCTCTATTGCTACTGATCATAAAGACGACAATTTACACACATAGATCCCTTCGTCCCTATCATAGTATGACGCACCTATCACCCATGTGCGTATTTAGATAACTGAAAAGTGTGAAAGGAAGAACCACATGCTTGATTTATTAATGACCTGTACTTAGCTTGTAAGAGCATAAATGTACAAAAGGTCTTTTATTCATTCATAGTGGCAAGGCCTATTCTCCGACTGATCGCAAATTCTTCACGATTACTCGCCTTTTTTTAATGCGACCATGACTTCGGACTCTGCTTTGTAAAAACGCTTACCATCAACCAAAGACGAATTACTTCGCATATGCTCCAATGCCATTGACCTTATTTCTGGTCGGTTACTGCACACGTAAGGTGTTTGTGTCAAGAAGTCGAGTATCTTCATCCCCGCCTCCGATTCTTCATGGAAACACTCGGAGATGTCGATGTTCCATCCGTGCCCGTCCCCTGAGGTGACGTACTCGATGCCCGCTGCGTCAAACCACTGTTCGACGTCAACCGACGTACGGAGCGACGTCTTCAACCGGTCTCCCTGGCCGAACTCATCCCACAACTTGTAGTACAGCCTTCCGCCGGCATCCTTACCTGCAAATGTATGCGGGGAGTAGTAAGACGGCATGACACTCGTATTGGTTTTAAACCCAATATGGTGAGAAATACATAACCGGCATGCAGCATAAACTCGTATGAATATTACATGGCTCCTAAATGTTTTTGAATAGGCCCAATACTACAAAAAGGCTCCTTCCTTGCTTGAGGCGTTACCAACAAAAAATTTAGAAACAGAAATAATTGCTTGATCACCTGACTTTTGGGCGACTAACATGCATCCACCATCTGCCAGATGTCCCCACATGTTCCGCAAGGTGGCGTGAAAGTCGTCCACATGGTACAGAACGTGGACGGCATGGATCAGGTGGAACTTTGTGTCTCCCTTTGTCTGGAAGTACTCTTCTGCTGTCTGCTGGCGCCAATCACACTTCACAGCACCGAGGCTCGTGTCTTCACGCATTCGTGTCTACCAGATGTGATATAATGATATGGATATCGATAACACTAACTTCAAGGACTTGTCAAAATAAAATTTCGACTATGGTAAAACGAAATCATGGACCGACGAAAACACCAGCTCCTTGGGTGACAGAGTACCTTGTATTGCTCGAGGAGTTCCCCCGACGGTTCCACGACCCTGTTGTACACACGGTCGTGGCGTTGTAGAAGCTTCTTCAGAATGACGCTGTCGACATCCCCTAGTACGATATCAATTGGTACGTATTACATATTAGGGAGTTATGACAACCGATCACTTTCCTGGACACTTTGAGGCCATGTACGTCCGGTCGATAAGACAGAAATTAGAAGAAAATAGAAAGGGTGACATGTAGATGTGCCCCTGGCCTGTATCCTTAACTGTTACAGGTTCATAATAGACCATATTCTGGTTTGAAAGCTGGGGACAATGGAGAACTCTGGGTAACACAGTGGGTATGCGCCATACAAACACCATGTAAGAAAGAAAGAAACACCATGGCTAGCTTGCCCATCAGGTTACCCATAATTCTATTATTCAGAAAAAAAGTAATCGAGCCGGCCTCACCTGATCCACTGCCTATCCCCAGCACACGCAGGTCGGTCCCCGGTTCACACAGGACAGAGTCTGGGACCATGGCTCCAAACGTATGATAGTAGTCTGCCCGTCTGTTCATCTGACCATGTCCGTACGCAGCTCGTATCGCAGTCATACTAGCCAGGTACCGCTCTGGGGAGGAGTTAATCAGTCTACCGACCTCCATTTCGTTTTTTCCGCACAGACCAGAGAGATTTATGCGCGACCCCTGAGCATGTGACTTCGGGATAAAAGAAAAAGATTAGTGCGACATTTCAAAAATCATGAACCATTTGTGAACATTTTACCGTGAAAACCAGCGAGGCACAAACTTAACTGCATGGTAGTATCCTTGAATGCTAGCTTTTAGATCGTATATGACTAGGATTGTGAAGTTTTCCCGCTACAGCTGCCTGTACGTCTGGTCCGAGCTGTAGTTCCGTTGACCGGCTGCACAGGACGCCATTTAGAAGACAACCGGCGTTAAAATGGTACAAAACAACGTGTTTCTTGTTTTCGGCTATTTTGTTGTGAATAGTACTATAAACTAAACATATTCATTTGTCGTACTTCTATAGTGCCCCCTACTATAACTTAACCGCGTCTATGTCAGTAACATCTCGGTCCTAATATCAGTGAAAATCTGCATAGAAGAAATACTGTGTTCTGCTACCTGCCGAGTGGCTTCAAGGGGCGGTTATATACCGACAACACACGACAGACGCAGATTACTTGAATCATAATTCAATTAATAAATAAATAATAAATACCTAGTCCTTGGTCTTTTATCGTGCTCCTGGAAAACGGACGAAAGCCGCACACGAATTGGCAGCAGGCTTCCAAATCCCCGGCGTCTCCTTCCAACAAGTTGTCTGAAGACATGTGATTCAAGTAATTGAAGCACCAGGATAAAAACCGGTTTCCTAAAAGGGGGTTTAGGCTGTGTCGCTTATTTGTAGCCATCTCGAAAACCGCCCGAGGAGGGTAATCTCCGAGCAGATCTTCTGGTCGCAAAGTTGTTGCCGTGCGACATACTATGTATATGCTTGCAGTTTATACTATCTTGCCAACGGAAGATCTGCTTGGAGATTATGAGGAGGGTAATGAGGATATTTTTATACGTCAGTCGCATTCCTCTGGCTTTGGAGCAACACGAACCCTCTTTTTTGACAAGCAAAAATCATTCCGCTATACCTTTCAGCTATTTGCGCAATAATGGATATGATTTCACGATTCATATTTCTTTTAAAAAAATCACAATATTTACCACTGCAGTCACATTATATCATATGTTTTCAGTTTTCCCCCACATTCATATAAGGGTAACATCTGTACACCATCGTAGTGTTAACTAATGCCCAACACCGTCTGTATGTACAGTTATAAACTCGTACATGTATTACGTTTAATTAGTACAATTCTGGAGCGAACAGCAATGCCGCATTGTACGTGGGTGTCCCTTTTTATGTTGATTGTTGTCGTGAACTACACATGATGTCTCTACCCCGTGATACAAAAGCTCTCGGCAACCTTCAGCGGCGGCCGCCAGAGCGCGGTTTAGTCAGCACAAATGTACTCCGCCTAACTTCTTCTCTTTGGCGGGTAGCCAACGAAACTAGCTTTGACACTTCCGCACACATACCCACCATGTTGTTGCAGGGGGAGTCAAGGTGACTATAGAGTTAAAGTGCAGTCTGGTGAACCCTGGCTCAGGTGCAACATCATGGCGGGTTTGTGCACGCGTGTACTTTAGTAGATACGGTTAGCCTCCTGTGCAGGCTCAGCGGCGGGTGGGAATTTCGATACAGCGTTTTGTAGAGTTTTTAACGCGTTCTGTTAAAAGCCGGCCATTCTACGACCAGCCGCCGAGAGAAGATTGCATTTCGCCCAACCTTCTCTCGGCGGCTGGCTCTGGCTTGAGTTTGAAGTTGTACCCCTACTACTACTAGTGTACACTGCATGTATATGCAGTACTGATATACGCACGCTAGGTGGCGTTGCTAGTGGTTTAGTCTGACGCAGTTGTACATGCAACTTTTGTTTGTATGATATTATGATATTATGTGATTAGTAATCACATAATATCATACAAACAAAAGTTGCATGTAAAACTGCGTCAGACTAAACCACTAGCAACGCCACCTAGCGTGTGTATATTACAGTCACGTGGTAAAGGCATTGCACAGATGCTGATCTATTGGTTTATAGCTCTTCCTGGTTAAACTTTAACAGACTATCATGGCGGTGGTGATATAACACCGTGCGTATGACTACTGGTTTTCGGTGACCTGTATGCGTACTTAGCCCGCCGTTAGTGCAGAACGTTGCAACAAAGATCTTCATCAATTCATTGGCCATTCAACCGTTACAATAGCCATGTGGGCAAGGCCATAAATGTAACCCCTGTCTGCCTCTGTGAATACAAACGTTGTAATTTGTGACTGATTGTTTCTGCTGAATGACTGACCTGGATGATCTGTAGACCACATGATTGCCGGCGCCGGCCACTTTTTGTCATCGGGGCGTTAAATCGTTCTACCCTTCCTGTGTACAATCGGGTAAGCAAAGTAACTGACGGCAAATAATTTCTCTCTCAAAACTGAACGTAATAGCGATGTCAATACGCCTGATATCTTTATGTTGGATAGCCACGGGCATATAGCATATACGGGACGGAAGTACTAAAGAGGTTCACATCCTCCTTGATTGTTCACGTTTAAAACTTTAAATTGCAAAGAAGCACGTGACCCGTCCACTAGCGTTTCTGCTGACTGACAACTGTCCGTCGGGACAGACAGAGTGCACACGGTTGTAGCAACACCCGGACTGGGAGAGAGCCATGGCAGGTCTGTACATTTTTAATAACAGATATGTTTCATACCGTTAGACTATATACGTCTTGTAGCCTATAATGTTTGCGGAACTAAGGAATCATTCTTCGTTAATATTTTCCATTCTTCGTTGATAATTTTATCAGGCTGGGTAGTCAAACCTCCTTTCGGCTACCCTCGGCAGCTCAACTTAAGAAGGTAGCCTATTTTTAGAAGGTGGCCGAAACATTGGCGGAAAGAATCACATTCATACCGTTGAAATATAACAAATCATACTAATAGTATATGGAATTCGAACATTAATGGTGTCCTGGAAATTTTGTTTATAACTATCTATCGACAAATCCTATTGACCCCGGACATGCCAACAGGGCGGAATCAGGTCGGCAGGCTGAACAACGACTCTCCCGCGCGGTATGCGGCAAGTTTCACGTCTTTCCTGGACGCCACTGAGATGAGCGAAGAATGCTACTACAACTTTTTTGGATCAAAGGTCCCAGACTCTGTCCTGTGTGAGCCGGGGACGGACGTGCGTGTGCTGGGGATAGGGAGTGGATCAGGTGAGACCGCCATGTTGTCACAAAACAGATCTGATTATTTATCCCATTTATTTAGTACGTGCTAATCGACATAATGGGGATAAGTGTATATTATTTCTATCTTATATTATTACCTATCGCTATCCCATGTAAAAGTAGTTAGCACGTTTTTTTAAAGACAAAACTTTTCAGTACTAAATAAATGGGAGAAATAACCAAAGCTTACAAAATCACATCTCATCTTCGGTTGAACAAGGTCATTCAAAAATTGAATGTGTCTTTGAATAAACACGTATAGCCGGATTCACATACAGACGCATAATGTTTTCAGCCAGAAGGTCACATGTTCTGAGGGTAGGGGAGCTCTGTATTTGCATTGTCTAGTAGGTATAACTAACTGCCCTTTCTGCGTGACCCACCAATTTATAAGAGATGTTATCAGACAAGGGCGGTCTATGTAGCTTCATATGCTTCATTCAGGACCTTTGTTCATTTGTACCACAGTTTATACCAACAGAAACATATCTGTTCTTTCTTAGGAGAAGCTGATAGTATCATCACAAAGAAGCTCCTACAGCGCCACGAGGGTGTGTACAACAGGGTCGTGGAACCTTCAGGGGAAATGATTGAAAAATACAAGGTGATAAAAATCAGTATTTTGTATAGAAATGTTGAGCTTTTGCCACGATCTTCGATTTGGTCGTATTCGCTTTTCTTCTATAACATCAGTGTCACCTCAAAAAAGACATTGTGTCGGTTGTTTTTGTCATTGTCATCCTGTAGGCATTGGTACGTGAAGACACCATCCTTCGTGCTGTGAAGTTTGACTGGCACCAGCAGACAACAGAAGAGTACTTCCAGAAGAAGGAAAACGCCAAGTTTCATCTCATTCATGCCATCAATGTCCTGTACTATGTTGAAGATCCGGTCGCCACCTTGCGGAACATGTGGGAACAACTGGCAGATGGTGGCTACATGTTAGTCACCATGGAGTCAGGTAGAGTAGCAGGCAATTTTACATACGTTGTGTTATTCCGATGTTGTTTTCTGTACTTGTTTGTATTTGTTTTGTTTTGTTTCTTCCGTTAATCTTTCATTGGCCACTTCTCCCAACAAAAGTAGCCTCAACTAAGACCTATATATTACAGAAAAGGGAGATTGGGGGAAGTTGCATCTCGAGCTGTGGAAGGATTTCGGGCAAGGCGACCGCTTGGACACCTCGCTGCGCCTGTCCGGTGACGTTAAAAAGTGGCTTGACGCAATGGACGCCACTTACGTCTCTTTCGAAAACAGAATCGACGTCAACACCACAAAGTGTTTTGATGAAAAGTCAGAGGAGGGAATACTACTTCTCGACTTCATCACACACACACCTTACACCTCCAGTGTGCCTGAGATGCGATCAATGGCCTTAGATTTCATCAGACGACATTCGTCCGTGGTGGATGATAAGATCATTTTCCTGTCAATCGAAGAAACCATCGTCGCCTTTAAGAAGGGGACAGAAAAGAAGTAATGATCTTGACTAGTGTGGGAGAGTTCGACTAAAAGTTATCGGGTTAAATTTGGTGGGAAACTTTTTATTATATCTGATCCTTACCTCTTCCCTCATGACCTCAATGAAAAGAAGCCTACAGGCCGATTTTAGCTTCTCGTAAATGATGAATGGTTTAGACATGTAGGCCTGTAGACAGTCAGATGTTATATTATTACAGTGCAATCCAATAAAGAAAACACTCCTCATTTAATCCCTACTAAATCTCTAGATTCATAAATACTAAATTACAAATTACTGTCGATTAGAGTAATGTCGATGTCTACGTACTATGCATGATTGAAAGACGAATTTGAATTCTTAAAGTGCAAAAAAGGATTTGTCTGAGAAGCAAACAAAGCAAACATTATAAAAATTTGTAATCATAGTCCCGATGCTTCTGCACTGTTAACTTCTAAAAAGAGCGTTTTTTTCTAGCCACGGTGCCAGGTTTCGAGCCCGCTACCATGTTCATTGTGTTGCTTGCCTCCATGCATTTTTTCGATTAAACAGTATTTCATTATTGCTAATTAGTATCTAACATAACTATATTATGTCTGTGAGATCAAATGCACGATGACGAAATTCTATATTACGTAGTACGCGCATGACTAGAATATATTATCGATCATTGAAAAAATAGTGCAACTTTGCAGTGTCCTCTCTATTTATTCTATAGCAAAACAGTGTTTTCATCTTTCACAATACTAATATTTCTTATATCACTTGTTGACACATAATGCTAATTTCTCGGAGAGAGACTAGCCAAATAGCCTATAGGAAATGAGTGTTCGAACTTCAAAGAACTTCAAACACGGTACATGTAAACTGCAAGTCACACATGTATGCACGCACGTACACACAAAACAATTGGGTCCTGTCCAAACGTAGTAAGCAGAGCCGAATGAAAACAACCGCCGCTGTTGTACTTTGGACCCTGTCGTCAGAGTCAGGTGACAGAGAGCTACCGTAAGTGCAAAGGGACTAGCGGACGAAGGACTCGAAAAAAAATCGGATTCTCTTACAAAATCTCAGGTTTGTAGGCATTTTTAAAGGTTCGTGATTCACTGTATGTCTCTGAATGAATGTAGATAAAAAGTAGCAATCCAAAAACCTTATCTATAAAGTTAAAGTTATATATTACTGTGTTCATTTACTTCCTCTACTCTAGTTTGGACAGCATTCGAAACCAAGCGAGTTTGTTGGTCGATAATGTCCTACAGCACCGTTAAACGTCGTCTTTTCTGTCTCCGTTACAGCAGATATAATGCCGCTTTCGAGTGAGAAACATACTAAGCACCAATACAACCACTTGTTGACGTTAAAGTAAGGCAGGGTTATACCCCATGTCTCAGTCCGCTAGTGTGACGTGTTTGTGTACACACATTGGTGACGCACAAAAAATACTGTAATTTGATGCTATTGCGTTACCACTGAACTCATGACAAGTGTAAAGAATTGCCAACCTTGTCATTACGTGTCAAAAAGTTCCCATCCACTGTAGTAATTTACTTGTTTTCTCGCTGTTTGCTACATCACACTTGTTACAGACTTAGGTTCGGAGAATGAGTTATCCCCAGCAGCCTAGTGCCCCTGGCTACCCACCACAGGCGCCGGCCCAGCCTGCCTACCCACCCCCGGGAGCTTATCCACCCCCGGGAGGATACCAGCAGGCACCCCCACCCTACCAGGGTGGCCCTCCACCCGCACAGGGGTACGGCCCCGCCCCACCCTACGGCACAACCTACGTCACACAGCCGGTTGTACAGCAGAAAACAGGTGGGGAAATTCACGGAAATGACGTTATGAATATTTGATTAGACGTCGACCGCCATCTTGATTTTCATTCAGACAGAACTTCACCTCTCATATTCATGATCCGATCCGATACCCTGAGACCACTACTTAAAAATGAAATCAAAGAGATACTAATATAGCATCACTAATCCCAGAAGTAGGCACATTTCAGATATCCAGATGTTCATGAATTAAGACATTCTTGAAAATACCTCCATAACACCGTTGTTGTAATGTGGCAGTCTTATGTAGGCCTTAAGGGTACCTACCGCAATATTGAAAGTTATTAATCCCTCTCCGTAGAGTACCAAACTTTTATTTGCCACTAGCCTGACATCCGCAACATTAGTGGAGAGGACGAAAGAGACTGGCCAGGACAGCTAAACTGATAGGTTTAGGTACTAGTACCAGGCTGACTCGCCACGGCCTTTATTAACGACTCACTAGTACTGTCTTCAGAGCTTCAAAGAAACAGCTGTAAAGCGCTAAATATGTCCTGTCTTTCTTTGCATTTGCAACACAGCGACGAAGGAATGGCGTAAGTCCAACGTAATGGGTAACTTATTTGTGTGTCTAGAATAAAATGCATTGTCTAGTGACCCCTATATATATGTACGGATGTTTGTTTAAACACAGGAGCAGCAGTTTATACAATTAAAAAGACATGGCTTTGATCCGGGATTTATAATTACAACGATGCAAATTATACGTAAATTAAATACCATATACTGAATGTTAAGCTAATAATACGCCATGTGCTCGTCATATATTTGTCATATGGTATGAAACCCTTTTCGTTTACGACCATTACGTGCGCCTTTTGAACTTTCCAACGAGGCAGCGACCGTTAAGTAACCATTGAGGCTACCAATAATACCATTGATATTTCGTAAGAATCCCATTTAAAAAAAAATGCATTTTGTACGTTTTTGCGTGTTTTCCTAAATTTCAAATCACACTTAAACATCATAGATTATATTCAATTTATAAAAGCATAGGTCAGACAAATTTTGGTCGTCCACCGGTCCTCCTAGCCGGAGTTCTTAATCCGCTCCCCAAAATCAGCTACGTTTGGACTCCAGCCGAACGGTCTCCATCCAGTTAGCTACCGGTAGCATATCTTGGGGAGGGGACGAAGGCTAACAAGGCTGACACTCAGGCTACCATCCAGTGGCCCAGCTAGGCTATGATCACATGTCCTAACCATGTCTCTACTGCTGCCCCACAGTGTACGTGTATGACCAGGAGGCCGCCCGGCGGGAGCGGGAGGCTCGCGAGGCGGAGGAGTGTGCCATGTGTGCGCTGTGTCTGGCCTGCCTCTGCTGCTGTCTGGCGAACAACTGACACCGACATCTACAGCTCGAGAACAAATTTAACACTCTTGTCGTGCATGATCAAACGAAGTAAAGCATCTGTTAAGTGAACAAAGTCTGGGATATAGGAGGCAGATATAAAATGTTATAGTGACGAGGTCAAACTAACAGAGATGCACATCATTACTACTCAAAACATTGTTATAAATACTTCTCAATACAGTTGAAACTGATATCAGAGTTATTATGTTTTGTTTGTTGTATACGCCACGTATCTCAGTCTTGTACAATGTCAAAAGTCAAGTCATTCAGTATATTAAAATTAAACCTAACAACTGACATAAGAACAAAATGTATACACACAATTACCGCTAAATTTTCTCTAAATGTCAAAACTTTACATGATTATATTTCTGACATGTAGTTTATCTAGCTTTCATTGTCATGCCATGTTGTCCAGTCATTTTATTATGCTAATCTGTTGTTGCTATGTATGATTGACCTACCCATCTTAAGATTTTGTAAAGTACCACGCTTTCAGGTACATAGTTGATTAAAATGTTGAATTAAAGATTCAATGATCAACGATAAGCTTTGTTTATCTAGTGCACATAATGTAGAACGCGGAAATCAAAGGTATGTTGACATACATTTTTTCACGTTTTGAAAAATCCTCACATAGCTATGCCTTCTGTGTATATTGTAGTATATATATATATATATATATATATATATATATAGTA